ATGATAAATATGGTTAAACTGTCTACTTCCCACACATCATAATACCCATTGCTGGGTTCTGTACTTTCACACCCGTCCGCATACTTGAGTGTGTAGTGCATGTGTAAACACTGGGAGTTAATACATGTCTAGGCCTATAGTTAAATCTGCATTTTATAGGCTCTATTCAGTGGGAAAGATGAGTTGAGGACACTGATATATATGGTTTTCTTTGTTTATAAAACAAACACAAGGCAAGGGAAGGGAGAAGGCAGAAAATACTGGAGGTGAACTTTTGGCTTTGGAAATGGTGTGAATCTGAAAATCTGAATTTTGTGGCTTATTGGGCTATATTCCAATGGGGGAATAAAGCTGTATTAATGGGATGTCCCACATTTCATTGGTAGGGAGCTAATCTTGGTTGGAGACTTGCTGAAGAAGATAGTAGGACATAAAACTAAAAGTATAAAGGGACTGTGGTAGGGAGGAAAATGTGATACCAACTTAAATACAATGTGTTTCCAACAAATTGGGCATATGTGAAAAACAATGTGAAGAATAGAGAATTTTCAGTTGCTTATATTCCAGTGCTCGGAATCTAGGTGACAAACAAAGAACTAGAAATACTCACTAATGAGAAGCAACTTAGTATAATTAGCATGGGATTTGCTCGAGTCCTTGACATAGCTTACCAGTATCAATCCAAATCTTTGAACTAAAGTCTGGCCTTGGCAAAATAGCCTCATGCTAGGTATTCACTAATCAAGAAAGCACATAGCTGACCTGAGATAATGGGTCTAGACTATCCAGAGTTCTCAACTAATTCCCAAGAAGTGGTACAGAAACACACTGACTCCTTTTAAGGTAAGAATGGAATGACAGGATAATGAAAGGATAATGAATGAGGATGTTTTATTTGAACTAGCTGGTGCAAGGTATAAGGGTGGTAACTAGTAATATATGAGATGTAATATGTAACTTGTTTGTATCGATATATAAAAGGAGAAATCATAGAAGAGGCATCTTTGTTCTAACCTAGGAAACAATTTTAATGTTTTGTGGGAGTTAAGCTGATACCGTTGTTGAGGGCATACAGATATTAGTGTACCTATAACCATTGAGCTGGGATGCTAGAACCATGCTTCATTAACAGTAAACCTTCATCACTGAACCAAGCCTATGATTTCCTGAGAAATGACATCAAGGTCTGCTGCATCAGCACACTGCACTCTCTTCTAATGCAGCTAACACCAGGGCTCCAAAACCAGCAAGTAATCACACCAAAAATCATATTAAGGCCAACCCAGTGAGGTGAAGTGCAGATCATAAAGGAAGCCAAAGACAACATGGAAAAATGCATGACTGCAGGCCTAACAAAAATAAGAAGGATTTAAAATATATTAGGACCCAATGAATTCCTAGCAATGGTATAATTTTATTACTAGATGAAAGTTGTAAAATTGTTAATGAAGCAGAAATGCCATACGTGTTCAATCAACGCTGTTATGTATTTGGAAAGAAGCAGGACAATTAACTACTTTCCAGTGCATTATTAACCAAAGAGGGTATTAAACCTAATGTACGAGGGATAAACTTTTAAGCATAAGAACACTTGCACCTAAGCATCCAAAAATAGTTGGCTGAGTAATTTTAATTTGTAATACATCTTAGAATACGAGGGAAATTTTAGAAGAAAAAATATTAATATGTGCAAATATTCAAAACAGCATATGGGATGACCTGAATAAATATAGGCCAATTAGCCAATCCTGGGCAAAATAAAGGATACAAATTAAAATAGGATCCAATGATAAAGGATAGGAAAATAATTAATGACAGTCAGCAAGGGTTTATGAAAAAAATGAGTCTTGTCAAACAAAACTTATTTAATTCTTTGATAAGATTACAAATTTGGTTTGGTAAAAATAACTACAGAAATTTGATATACATAGATTTTCATGTGCAGTTTGTCTTAGTATTGTATGTTACAGTAAACATATAATGTGGTAGTAATCATTCTAGAAAATCACATTATATAAAAGCACATTATGAAGAATAAATGGGACAAATGGGGTTACATTTGGGATGTGACAAAGTTGTACATTATTATGAATTATTTTCATTTATTACCTTACCTCTTGATGGCAACACTAGCATTACTTGCGGCCATAACTTGTTCTACTGCTATCTTTTCTTTTCCTAGTGGTGCTAATCATAGATTCATTCACACCATACTGCCGACCAGCCACATTGACTCTTGCACCATCATGGAGCTTGTCTGTTTTCTTAGCTAAACTCATCATTTACTATTTCTTCTCACTTCTTGTTTTCTTACTTTAGTTAGGACTGCTACTCCTCTTAGGTAGTCATGAATATAACTGGACAGAGGAAGGAGCCAAGTCTATAGTTCTCTCGCCCGGCCTGAGTGGACATGTCCATTTCACTAAAAACAGTGCACACAAATATAAATGAAAACCATGTTATGTCAAGAATGAACTGTAGAAACACATGTTATATAAGGTTTTACAGTACTTTGATTTTAAAATGATAACTATACAGTATTAATAGAGCACAGGTTAAATGTATCAAGAACTTACTAACTGAAACATCTCAGAAAGTAGTCAGAAGGAAATCATAATAGAATAGGGATGTTTCTAATGGCATCCCGCAGGGATCAGCACTAGATCCAGTATCATTCAGCATTTTCATCAGTAATCTCAGCATGAATATAAAGTTACTGCGTATTAGATTTGTAATTGACATGATGATTGGTGGAGTGCCTGTCCCAAACTAATATTGAGAACATGGAGATACACCTTCAAACAAAATGTGTATTTGTACATCCAAATGCAAAGTTTATACACCAAGTAGTAAGGCATGCCTACAGAATGGGGAACAATATTCTGGAAAGCAGTAACTCTGAAAACAATCTAGGGGTCAGAATGGACAGGCTGCTCTAGTGCAATGCTGTGGCAAAAAAAGCAAATGTAATCTTTTGATGTGTATATACAAAGGAATGACTAGTGTGTGTGTGTGTGTGTGTGTACACACAAATATATACACACACACACATTTTATTTATATATATACACACACACAGGAGGCCCCCCGACTTGTGATGTGATTTGTTCTGAGGAAGCGTTGCAAGTCAGGGGCATCGTAATTCGAACTCACATTTACGGTAGGTGCTGTGCGCCATCATAAGTGCGGGCCAACGTAGTAAGTGGGGGGTTTCCGACCCCTTCCGCAGTTACAAATATAGTTGTAAGTGCAGGGAGTCGGAACTTGGGTGGTCGCATCTTGGGGGCCTCCTGTATATATACACACTCACATATATATATATACACACACACACACATTTTATAGATATAATATATATTATCGTGAGCTTTTGTGGGCAAAATATAAAGTAATATATATTATCGTGAGCTTTTGTGGGCAAAATCTACTTCTTCAGATGATACGATCGTTTCATGTGAAGAAGTGGGTTTTTCCCATGCTAAGTTGCCACAGGAATTCTCTTTGTTTTTAAAGTTGCAGACTAACACAGCTACCTCTCTGAGACTTTTATACAAAGGAACAGTGAGGTGAGTATGAGTGTGACATTGATTTTACCTATGCATTTAGCATTGGTGAGACTAATACAGGATTACTGGACAGAGTTCTGGCAGCCACATTTTAAAAAGGCTGTCTAAAAATTGGATGATGAAGTAAAAGGCCATGAAAATGATGTGAATGCTAAAAGAAAATGCCTGATGGTGAGAGATTTAAAGATATCAATATGTTTTACTTACAAAAATGTAACATTAGAAGATAACTTAATTATAATATATAAGTAGCCTCACAAGATGAATATACCAGCTACCAGAGAGCACTTTAAGCTCTCAGAGAAAGGCACAACAAGATCCAATATCCCTAGAATCTGAGGGAAGAATAATGTATATTAGAAATGAGAAATAAATTGTTAACTATCAGTGTGCTTAGCCATTGGAACAAACTACTAAGATGTGTGATGGATTCTCCATCTCCTGATGGCTTCACTTTGAGACTGGATGCCTTTCTGATATATTTTAGCCAAATACAAGTTATTGAGCTCACTATAGGGAAGCTGTGGTGAAATGTACTGGCCTGAAGTATACAGATTAGCTTAGTTTATCTGATTGTCCCTTCTGCCTTCCTTTCTTATTTTTACCATATAATTCTAAAATAAGTTAATTGGAATATAAATATTGTACTTACATGTCCGTGTATAGTATGTAGAACTGTGTAAACATATTCTTTATCCTTTGTTCCTTAATACTTTTGTTTCATATAGTAGAATAGCCTTTTAATGCAAAGGTTGTTTTAATTAGTCTTAGATTGTTTTTAAGCAATACAGATATACATAAAATATTTAAAATGTTCGATTAATATAAAGTGATATTTCCGTTCAGATTGCATCTATGTTAATCTTATCACAACTTGAATGTACAAGATAGAATAACAAAAATTGCAATAGATTAACAATACTTGCACTAGTTTAGTGTGTTCTTGGAATGATTCTTCAGTGCTAATTATGAATAGTAAAAGGTGAAATCTTGGTCCAGCTTAGTTCAAAACTTCTATGAAGTTAAGTGGGGTAAAATTTCACATCTTGTCTTAAGAACAGATTTGTGAAAAAAACACTCTCCTTTTTTGTTTGACACAGGTAGAAATTTTTCATGTTGCAAAATATGGTTTTCCTTGGAGATTAATAGTGTCCCTTGTGCACCTGAAAGAACCCTACATGTGAACTGTGCAGCTCTGGTAAGATAGTTTTCAAGGTTTAGTTTTGTGCTATTGTGTTAATGTTATAGACAAATATAACTTCCACTGCATGGAATATTGTACACATGTATAAAGAGACAATATAAGTTCATCTTTTGTGCTAAAATACTCAATATTCCGAGGCTTCATTTAAATTCAGAAATGTGGCCTAAAAATAAGCCCTCATTTGCTAACTTTAAACATTATTCATAATCATTCATTAACTACCTTCTTTCACAGTCTCTGTCATGTGGGTTTTATTCTGCTGTAATCTTTTTCACACACTAGCTCTTAGAGCTGGATTCAATAAAAAACTTCAACCAGCTTTTATATTAGAGTCATACAAAACAGGACAGATCTATTTTGGTTGCCTTCTATTCTTGCACAATGCATATTATTAATAATCTTGGGCTTTTGTTAATGTTTTAAAAATTGCTTAATCATCATATGAATTATTAGCTAAATATTTCCTATAACCATCTAAAAACCCACAATAAAACATTATTATTCATCTTGGAAGATTTGTACTGTTTCATTTAATAGAATGGATTGTATTTTATAAACCATTTAAATATGAAAAGCGTGAATAACTGATTATTTAGCATTTCTACTATGATACTGAGATTAGCCTTTATTGATTTATTTTTGTCTATATTTTTTGCGTTTGAATTAGAGATGTTAGTGTTTTGTTTTTGTTTTCCAAGGCTAATGTTTTTCTCATTTTCTTTAGAAGAATGCTCATTTTATCATCCAGAAGTGCTATTTTCTGTTTGGTTCTTAAGCAACTGAGAAAAATTGGCTTTTGTAATGGCTGCTGAAAAGTTCTACGAATAGAATAACATTCTATTAAATTTGCTTCCTACCGCTAATTTGCAGTAGGAAGCTTTCCCTAGACAAATACAGAATTGATACTATAGTTTGACTTCATACCATAAGAATTACAATCCCTCCTCCCCCACCTGCCATGCTCCCTTCTCCTGATTGTTCTCTGAATAATTTGCATTTAGTAATCTCATTTCTGGTTACATGGTAACTTGGATCATGAAAGCAGCACTTTAAAATTAAGGGAAAAGAACATTTTCACATTGTTGCCTAAAACAGTTTTGAGTCTTGAATACACTGATTATAGGTAAAGCAAAGAGATACACAAATATCTTAAATAAATATTGTATGAGGCTAAAAGCAGTGCTGTTGCTGGGTGGACTTAGCAATACTGACTATGTAGCTCTCTGCTGGATGCAACTGAAAACAAGTTTTATACTGGCAATGAAGTCAACCATTTGCTTTAATGAATGAATTGGAAAGTATATCTTGCATATGTACATTTTGTAAAATATTTAAAATGGCTTTAATCATTTATCTCTTTTAGTTTTTGTCATTCACGCCTCTGAATCATTCATCTTGAATGTAATCTTGTACAATGTTCAGTGGCAAAAAATGATTTTCAGAAAATCTTGGAGAAGGAGGAAGGTTGTATTCAGGGTTGCTAGTGACTGCATTGTGATTTCTGTGCCTCTCACCTTTTAAATCCAGGACTGCTTGCTTAAAATGTTTACAGATCTTTAAGATTTTGGATCAAATCATGTGAGATTTGTAGTTTTACCTTGTTGTCACAGACATCTTTTGGCTGGATATTTAAGATTTAAGGCTTATCTGCCCAAAATTCCAAATGGAGCTCAGGGTTTGGGTAGTCACATAGATCAAAACCAATGAACTCCTGCAAAGTGAAACCAGTGAGTTTCATGAAGTTCTAATTACCTGCTCTTTTTCAGTTCTATTTGTTTGTCATTGCTGACAACATAGTATCCTGGTTCTGTCAATATACCAGCATAACTTGGATAACTCAATGGAAGCAGACAAACTCATTAACAATGTGCCATTTTTACTGTCATTTTCCAATTGTAATCTGACTTCAGTGGGTTTAGTCATCCTTTATTTAAATAGAATGTTTAACAGATATTCTGCAACTTGGAAAAATTATTGTTTTAATATGCAAAACTATGAACTCCCTTGGCAGCTAGAAAAAAAAATTGCATTCCTTGCAGCTGGGTGAAGTTGGCAAAATATCCATTTTCTTTTTATGTGATTTCCACGTGCATTTCTTGTGCAATTTTGAAAATACTTCTTTAAAATATTAAAAACAAATTTGTTGCTAGAAAGGAAAAAATAAAACATTTTTCATATGTTGAGCAAACTTAAAGGCTACCAAATACTTTTAACAGTGCAGCACCAGAATGGTAGTTCCATTAAATAAAAGAAGCTGCATTTCTTGTAATTCTTCGTTGTTTTGTAAAAATAATATAAATGTACAGACAGCAGGTTCACTATAGAACAAGATGATAAGCTGTGTTTTAGCCTGTAAGCTGTCTTGTTCAATACTGGTCCTCTGACTGGTGTTCAGGTCTATACTTATTAGTCCGGCGGGGCCTGAGGGTGGGGCAGGCTGCAATGTCTGCACCAGCCTAAATGTCAACACAGCCCTGATCCTCGTTCACGGCGGGGCAGGCAAACAGTTTCCAGAGTCAGTTTTAGCCCAGGCCCTGGTTCAGGGCAGGGCAGGCAAACAAACAATTTTCCTGGCACAAGTGGGGAGAGGGAGACTGCTACCCTGTATGTAGGGTGACGGGGAACGCGGGCCCTCCCTACTCCACCGTGTCCCAGTGCAGGGCCCTAGCAGTGGCAGGCTGGGTGGCAACTGGGGTTAGGGGGAAATCCAATCCAAAACACACAGACACACATCAAAGGGCTATCAGATCTGCCTGACCATCATCCACCTCTGCTGGGTCTCTTCTGAACTCCCTCTCACTCTGTACCTGGCTCCCGGTCAGCAACAGCTTTGCAGGGTCTTGGTACTCTGCCTGTGGGGGTATGTAAGCTGTCTCCTCTTTGGTGCCTGGTCCTGGTGGTCCGGGCCAGTTGTCCACCTCTGCTAGATCCTCAGAGCTTCAGCATGAGGGATCAAAATAGTCCTCCGCTCCCTCCAGCAGCTGGCCCCCTACTAAGCTCCTGGGCTGGGCTTTTATACTTCCTGCCCCACCCCTAGGCTTCTGTGAAATTAGAGGGGCAGGCTCTGGCTTGGCCCACCCGGGTCCAGAGAGGGGTTCTTCCTCTTCGGGGTCAATGAGCGGCCACGCCTGCTCATTAAACAGCCCAAGCTTGTCCAACTGCAAAAAATAAATCTGACTTCTATAGTATATTAAATGCCAATTTCATTTTTTTCAGATATGCTGCTAAATTCTCAGGTTGCTACTTAGCATTTTTTCATCAAAACTGTCATTAACTTTAGTGGGAGTTTGCCTAAATAAAGATTCAGTAAAACTTAAATAAAGACCTCAGAATTTGATCTGTAAATGAAATAAAGAAAATGAAAAGAATCATAGAGTGAAATTGTGCTCTCTTTGTATTCTAATATTTACATACAGTGTTCTCCTTTAATTTATCCTAATCCATCCCCACTACTTAAGTAGAAATAACTGGCTGATGCTATCTACATGACAACCATAGGACCACAGCTTACATAGTATATTGCATTACTTAGAAGGTAAGAAAGTATTTAATTAATACAACATTTAGTTGTATTAACAGACCATTGCCATGCTTTGCCACCTCACATGACTCCACCTTGCTGCCTTGCCTGACCTTGCCTTGCAATCTCACCCGACATAGTTTCCCTAACCTGCTGACCTAGTCCCTTGGTTTGGATCTTCCAGTTACTGACTCCTGCAAGTACTCCAACCACTCCTCTAACCTGTCTGATATAGTGATTGACATCCCAGGTACGTGACTACCTGCTCACATGTGACTAGACCTTCTAGTCTAGTGACTCACATGTGACTGCTGCTCTAGGCTACCCACTAGCTTGTTTTGGCCACCAGGCATTGCGCACTGCTTATTCTCTATCTGCTTTTCTCATGTTGAGCTTTGAAATATAGGTATCAAAAGCTCTGTTGCACTACTTAAACTTTTCTGTTCCTTAACAGAGGTAATAAAAAAGCCAAAATGGTAATGAGATAATTGAGCAGTTATCAGATGATTAGAAATTCTACTTCATTAAACATTCCCATGTGACATTAAAAAATTAGTTTTCATTCTGACATTTTAAAATGTTAGGTGACTATTAACAAGAGTTGCTAAATCCCATTGACCTTTCAAAGTGATTCATAGAACAACAACTTCCTATATCAAAACCAAGAATATGACATGTCTCCTTGAGGCTAATGTCTGGCCATACCAACGCATTTCAGTTACCCGGATCTAGGAAGTGTCATTAAGAAGCCAGCATTGTTTTATTGTTCCCATTTCAGAAAAGAAACAATATTTCTCAGTCACACCATGAAATACTATAATTCCTATTACAAATTATGGCAAGTTGTATCAAATTGGCAGACAAGGTGTACTTTGTGATCATAAAAGCTAAGCTTAAGATAAAAGATTGCTCCTTTCCATTTGAACAAATTGGAGAAGGACCAGAGAATAGTGACAAAAATGCTTAAAAGTCTAGAAGACATGACCTATGAGGCAAGATTGAAAAAAAAAGGTTTATTTAGTCTCGAAGAGAGAAGACTTAGAGGCGACTTGATTACCATTTTCAATTAGATAAAAGGTTGTTACAAGGAGTAGGGAGAAAAATTATTCTCTTTCATCTCTGATGATAGGACAATAAACAATGGACTTAAATTGCAGTAACGGGGGTTTGATTTGACATTAGGAAAAGCATCTTAACTGTCGGGGTTGTGTACTCTGGTATGAGAGATGCCCACTGCTTTTCATCTTCTCCTGCTTGAAACATGCATGGGAATTATCCACCTAACAAAGAGTGGGAAGTACATCTTTACAGGCAAGCTTGCTAACCTAGGGTATGTCTACACTACAGCATTATTTCGAAATATCTTATTTTGAAATAGTTAATTTGAAATAAGTTATTTCGAAATAACGTGTCTACACACAAAATGCATTTTGAAATAGTGTTTTGCTATTTCAAAATAGCATGTCCACACTGA